CCACTTCAGGTAGCCAAATACATAACGACCCCTCTTCTGGAAAAACAGGACAATGCAAGCCAATCTTCTCAGAACGAAAATATACACCGGGCTGCTATTTTTTTCTTCTTTTTTTTTTTTAAATTATTTATTTAAAGTGAAACGTCTTTAACAAATTACACGTATCAGAAATTACAAATTACAATAACAAAGTACTCTGGTATGGCTACTCCGATACTAAAATGTACATTACTTATTTACACCAGGTGTTACTCACTTACATTACGAAAACGAATAAAATAAAGTAATTAATTAATTCTGACAACACACATTAGCTACAATTAAATCAAACAGGACAAAAAACAAGAAAGAAAAAAATAAAAGGAAAGGAAAACTTAAAATTACAAAATAAACAAAAAAGCAAAGAAACAACTAATAGCGCTGGGAAGGGGGAGAGGAGCGATTTCTAATCTTGATTTTACATAATTAAAAGTAACTTAGTCTGTAAAGTTTGTGAGGAGCATTGTCGCGTTACGAGTACTTTTTCGGTGTTAATTTACAAATTTTCAACTTCGTATTTATCAGTAATTGGTTCTAGCAATAAATTCGGTTAGTACAAGTGAACTGTTGTTTAGTTTACTTACATACACATAGAATTTCATGAAAAGAGGGTGTAATTGAATTTTCTCATTAGTTTCATGTATGTTGGGTGTTTAAAGGTAGCGAAAAGCGTTTCTTTTGTATCTGGTTAAAGTCTGAACCATTCTGAGTGTTAAACCAATTAATGCCTTTGCATGTGAAGGTTTTTTGTAAATTCGCAGTCGATAAAGGTGTTATTTATGGAGTCTGGCTCACCACAGTAGATGCAGTCACTGTCTGTATTTATCCCATATCTGAAGTGTTCTTTCTTTGTAATGACAATCCTATGAATAAACTTGAATTGAAATTCTTTCAGCTTATTTTCTTTGCATGTTTTTGAAGCCATTTTAAAAACATCTGTCCAGTTCTCTGTGTCTATTGAAATATCTCTTTTCCATCTTTCCGGGCCAGTATGAGTTGATTGGTGTTTCTTAATGAGAAGTACGCGATAATTGTCTCTTGCCCTATACGTTTTAAAATTGATTTGACTAGTTTCGTTCAGTAAAAAAGATTTCCAGTTTTCTCTATAAATAAGGATCGAATTTTGCCCTAGGACTCGCACTCTGTTCTTGAAGCTCACAGGAATTGCACTCAAGATTTGATAGAAGTGGAGAAAGTTTGTGTTACAATGATATTTAGTTTGAAATTCTTGAAAAGTTAGGTATTGACCGTTTTCATTAAAAAGCTGTTGGATCGTGTGGATACCCTTGATACCCTTGATACCCTTGATACCCTTGATAAACCATTCCCTTATATATGACGGTTTCCCATCAACTAAGATTTGTTTGTTATTAAAGAGAATGGTGTCGGTTCCTTGATCATAACTTTACAGTCTTGATTTCATCAAATGCAATAATTATGTCTCTATAGAATGTTGGAATGTGTCTTAAATATTTTACATCGAAGCAGGAAATTGAGACCTCCGTGTTTTGAAAAAAAGTAGTCCGGTACTACTTTCCAATTCTTCCTGAATTTTACAAACAAATTATTCATCATTGGCAAGAAATCGTGTCTGCGACACCTCACAGCAAGACCGAGATACTGTCTTAGACAATCTAGAACAACAAATTCATTACGGCTGACAAAAAAATGGTATATCCACCTCATTGGCACCGAGCAGGTATAAAGCAAATTTCAGACCTTTTTGACGAGCATGAAAATTGCTTCCCGCCTTTCCTTTCCTTGCGCAATAAATACACGCCAAATTGCAACTTTTTACAATGTTATAGTCTTTTATCTGCGATCCCTCAAAGTGGGAAGAAGCTCCTTCACGTTAATTCTGGCGACTCTACTACACCCCCGTCGCCAAAATCTGTACTATAACGTGCAAGATGTTATACGACAAACTGTTAACCTTAGAAAATCTTCCTCTTCCCACTTCAGAAAAAAAACTCTTATCATAGGGCATCGCAAAAAGGAATCTAAATCAATTTTTTTTTATTCTCTGCGGTTCACAGCCACAAAAGAAGTTAAATTGGCAATGTTTCAGCACAAAATTATACACAACATTTTAGCGACGAACAGTATATTATACAAAATGAACAAGGTT